ATACATTAAATATTTAAGAACATTTTCAGAATTAATTCCATAAAGTATAATTTATAACTTGTACAATAGTTGTTTTTTTAAATTTTGTTGTTCGATAAGGCAACACGTGAGTAGCAAACATTTAATGGTAAGCACGCCCTTCCTTGAAGCCTTGCTGTCGCATGACGTCAGATGTGTTGTAAGCAGTGGCGCACTGAGTAGGATAATTCAATCGGTACACGCAGTACGAAGTTGGCAAAACAATACATTCAGATATATTTTGCATTTCCTGGTTATATTCGAGAGAATTTCATTGTTTTTATCATTTTCCCCCAGTTTCTGGGTATCAAGCGAAACCGTAGAACCTATTATACGGCCGGAGGCTGCATAGATTTCTTTCAATTTCTGCGGGCAAACAAAACTGGTAGATATTAATCCATAGAAGATAATATAATTATTTTTATTATTTCGCGTGATAGGATTTTCGCAAACCGCATATACTCAAACGCTCAGCATAACAGAAAGATTTTATTATTATTATTATTATTATTATTATTATTGTCTTACATTATTCACAGTATCTACTGGTCGGTATGTCAACCACACATCAGGTATATGACCAGGTGTGTGGTTGCTTTATGATCTGGTTCAGCATGGCTCTGACAAATTACGGCATGTATTCAAACATGACTGTCTTTTGCATATTTATATACATTCCTGGTATCCAAGTGAAGACACCAGTGCCCGAAGTGTCATTTTCGGGATACATCCCGTAGCTGATATTATTATCGGCACAGTTTCACACTTTACTGAAGTTCCACTGAGTGCGACTTCATATGGGAGATGGTATCACTTCTGGATCTTCTTGATTATTTTACGACTACTGTTGTGGGTATTGGGTATTTGATATACGATAAGAAACCCGCTGTTGGTTTTTCTATCAATGTACGTTATAATCGGGTCTAATTGCCGCCGACTGCGTCAGTGATAAGGAACGATCCCAGTAGAGTGTGTGCCTCACTACTTTCAAGCACATAATGGAGGCACATATTTATAATAACGGCACGGAAGTGGGAGTAAGCCCGTTCTCACGCAATAATTGCGGGTCTGCTTCGCCACTTCATCATGCCTCTTTTTGTATTCGCACCTGTGTGTGGCTGAACATCCACTTGTCACGTGTTTGGATAGCTTTCGCTTGCAGCCTCACATCTTCCTATAACGAGTCCGGCAATGAATGGTGAATCCTCTCAGAATGTGTTTTCTGTAGTTCAATGTTGGTACACTTGGTCCTAGACAGCTATCATTGAGGCTCTGTCTCGGAAAGAGATCGTCCGTGCTGGAGCCATGCGGCGACGCCAAGAATGGGTCTGACTTCTGGTTTACTCCAGCTCGTGAGGGTACTTAACATGCAGTGCCTTCGGTTTTCCATAAGGTTATTCTTCTCTTCCCGTTTCAATGATGGTTGAACAGGCGGATCAGCCTTTTTTCAGTTCAGAGGAACTATAGTATTTACCACTGCGCTCTACTGCTTTGCTGAACTTCTCCCACAATGTTCCAGAATATTCTTCTGAGTGTTAGGATGCTGAGATCTTGAGAGCTGTGTAGTTGTTATGGAGCTTATGGCTATCATTATCCTCTCTCTTGTCGGCACCTTGGTGCCCGGCCCTCCTTCGTTTTCGTGCTATTTCCCCGTGCTTTGCCATAAGCGCTCTTAGCCGTTTTGGAAGAGGTAAATCGGTCAGCACAAGTTAAATCCGACTCTGACTAGGGGATAGACGTGTTTCCGGTGTCTGAGAGAAAGAGCGCAAAGATCCTCTCGAGGGTCTTCGAAATGCTATAGGCTACTGCACGGATATTGTCGCAGCGTCGGTAGGGTTAACGATCATAACCATTACATAACGGTCAACAGGGAGGCTATGTTCGTTCTAATCGCGATTATACCACAAGGAACGACAGTCTAGAGTAGGCCGCGCACGAATTGTTTCTATTGCAAGAGAGTCTGAGTCATTAATTATGAGTCACACTTCGCAATCGGTTCACTACTCACATTCAATTGCTTAGTATAATCTATTGAAGTAACCATAACGTGTGCTGTGATTACGGATGTGACTGTTGGAAGACCGTTCAAGAGCATATGTCAGAGTGAGTTCGCAGTGTGGGGTTCCACATTGAATAAGCTATAGTTCCTTTGAAGTCTCGAATCAAGAGCTTTTTGCACTCCGAATCTCTATGTACTTCTAGACATATGACCCCCGAAATGTATCAATGTCTACTTAGTCAACACAACCGAGTAAAGGTATCGTAATGAATGAACGTTAGTTGGGAACAATCTCGTCACGAAGGCATCTGTTGCACTGCATAGTAAAGGCTCTAGTGCTCTGCATTAGCAGCTTACAGTCATCCAGGTAACAGTGAGGATGTGAAGACCACAGGAAGTATACCGAGCATTGAGTTTCCCTCCTTGTTCTTGTCACAGAAAAGCGCACTTGCCAATGGATATTAAAGGCATGCGAATTGAGATGTAAGATTAGTTATGCACGGGAGAGTTACAAGAAGACAGCTTGCTAAATCAGAGAATACAATCTATAAGAGGCATCTACAAAGATGGTCACCTAACCTGGAACCATCCTCGGGCGAGATGTGTAATCACGTAGATAATGCTGATGCGACTTGGACCTGATTGGTATTTTCCTATCTCCGAGAGATTCACTAGTTCGAGTCAGATTCACTATACGAAGACTGTCTTCGGCGAGGTTTTGTCAAGGAAGATGCTGGATAAACCTAAAATGGGTCTCGGACCTTCAGTTTGATACAAGATCGGTCCAAAACATGTGTAGGAGACAGCTAAAGACCGGAGGTACAGGGGTGCGGAAATTGACTTTAAGCGGAAAATCATAAGTAGTACTATGGCGTAGACGTAAGTGGCTTGCGTATGCTCAGGTGTTATCACTTCAAAGCAACTTTTAGTCCGCGAGATAATTTTATCGAAGAGAGCTCTGAGTCTATAATCTCGGGACGTTGCTTTTCCGGCTACTCCTCGGAGAAATCAGGTCTTACATAACCTTACTGTTACATTTGCTATAAGAAATGTTACCACCTAAATTATAAAATTGTTGTTGTGAATAAGATAACGGCATCGAAGACTCTTGACACTCTTCAGTCAATACTATTTCAAAACACTTTCTGACTACTCATTTAGAGGTGTCAATCTAGGCTAGTTAAATTTTGAGTCAAACCCACGTTAGACATTATGCTTATTGTAATTCTATATTGAAAATTACAACAATATTTCTATAACGTAATAAATACTGTTTTGCCGCATCACAAAGTTCGTCATTCAAGCGTTGTGTTATAAATACCGGTCTTCGTGTACCATCTCCC